ACTAGATTTGGTCCTTGGCGGTTCTCCTAATGCAAAGAGTCATATCAGCTCAGGATGTGTTAGCAATTTGCAAAGAAACCTTTGGGAAGTACATGAGTTGGCGAGGATTCGATTACAATGATGAACCCGACGAGGACGTTGATAATTAAGTTACAAGATATCCACGAAAAACAAGAGAACAATAATTAATTAGAAATTGAAATTCAATTCTCTTGTCAAAAAGTTATTTTTCTTTTGCAAGAATTTATTAAACCCACGTAAAGTACGCCAAACGATAAATGCAGATGACTTCAATTAAAATTAGTTGGTAATACGTAATGGTCTTGTTGCGGTCTAAAGTAGTGTATAACCCTAAAATAATTGACGGCGTTTGCATTTTTCTTTGGTCGTACAATAACAATATTACTAAGTTGTTGATCCCTTGAAAATAACTTATGACCTCATCACGAAGAATTATGTAAAAAATGTTTACTACAAAATACGGCTTCAGACGAAATCTTGTTGGTGTTTTGAGATTATATTTTTACTGTTAAGAATTACTTAAACGAGTTGTCACAAAAAAAATAAGTAATGACACAGTCGATTTATTTTTTTATTCATTCCGAAATGGCTCACATTGTATGAATTGAGTAGTATTTCTATCAGGATTAACAACATTTTTATTTATTCATCACCTCTAACAAATTGATGACGTCATCTTAAAAATATTAATTAATTTTTTGATCAAAATTGGTCGAAGGTTATTTGCACAGAACTTTTCTCGCCCTGGTTGTAATATACAATAAATATCCAGCTTTTTTCAAAAATTATAAAATTTGATGTTGCGAAGTTTACTTTTTTTATGAGAACCCCTATAAGTTGGTATAAAGATAGGTACGTAATTCTAAAGTAAATAGCGTGCTACGCGTATGTTTCAAATGAGTCTTTCGCTTATAAAATTTTAAGATGACGTCAGCAACATTTTTGCAACTACCCATATATCCATTTGGATAGGTGCAGTGTAATACTAAAAATAACTGTATTGTATTTCCACATTTTTGGGAAAAAGGACTGAGCCGTTCTTGATTTAATCAATGTAATAAATTGACTCAGTTTTGAGTTACCCTGTATAGGTAATTTGAAAAAAAAAAATATATATATATAGGCAATTATATATCACAAAAATTTTGAGATTTTGTTGGGGGGGGGGGGGGGGGGGCAAAAAATATATTTTGATTAAAAAACGTGTGTAAGATACAATTTTAATTTTTTTTATGTTTTTCGGGTAAAAACTCAACACGGATTTATAAACTACACATGTAGGACACGACTATGTTAATTTATACAATTTAAAACTCATTTACTACGTACGATTTTGAGGCGACGTCGTCACATTGTTGGTGGGAATGATTAGCCAGATTTTGGCTAGCGTTTTACGATCTAATGAGACATACAAACAAAATTTGACAACAATCGGTCCAGTAGTTTCGGGGATTGTCTCTCTAATAAAAGTCGATACAGACAGATAGACGGAAACACGGCACCACTTTTTTCGTACTTTAGAGAAATGTCGAAAAAACATGTAATTGCCGAGTCGCCCGATAGACTCCATTACTGTACTTCCTTAACTTATTTAGGTTATTTCAACAGAATTTTTAACAAAAATGCAGCTTATTCGAAAAATTATAAAATTTACTTTTGCGATTTTTATAATAAAAATTATTGTTTAAAAACAGAAGTATAAACCCCTAAATTTAAAACAAATTTGGAGGATATATAGATTTTTATTCCTAATTTAAATCCTTTCGATTGAAAGTTAGGTTGGCCGAGTGGACTAAGCAGGCGCTAAACTTAAGGTGTGGTTTGAAAAACGAGTGAAGGTTCGAATTCTGCACCCGACACTGTAGTTGACTGACACTTTTTCTTCAAAATGTATATAGTAATACATAAACTACATAGATCACCAAATTCCAAAATTCAAAATCCCTAAATTACCCCATCTTCATTCAAAGTTCAATATCCCTAAAGCTCCTATCTACCACTAAAATTCAAAATTCCCAAAAGCGACTCGACAACAATCGGTCCAGTAGCTTCGGAGATTATTTGTGTAATAAAAATCGACACTGACGACAGATAGAGGAAAACTAAAATTCTATTTTTTTCCTAATGTAGGGGTCCAAACGTCAAGAAAACATGAAAGTAGCCATTCGCCAGATAGACCCTATTACAATACTAAAAACATGTTTTTGAATGACTCGAGGACCAAGAACGATTAGTACCCATTTTGATAATCAATTTACTAAGAATTTTGAAACCTTTTCAGATTTTTGGAATATACAGGTTTTTAAAAATTATAGGAATGGTTAAATTAAGTACATACAAATCTTATAAAATTTTTGGTATTTGGATTTTTTTTTAATTTCTGCTACTCACAGTTTGAGTTTATGTTTATGTATTTATCCATCTGTCCACATTAATATCTCAGTTATTCCAAGATATATGTAGAAATCTGAACTTTAAATACTTAAATAACACAGAAGTAATATAAATTGTACAATGTAGATACGATAAGTAACAAACGTATATCATTTTGTTTTTTTTGGAAATTACTTAACTTTTTTTTCAAATATAATGCAGTTTTTTTTATATTTTTAGTCTCATATCTTAATTATTTGATACCACAGAACTGTAAAATTTGGACAGATTTTCGACTTCGTTTTAATTTTTGTAAACCCATCTGGTAAATTTTTATTCTACGAAATGTTCTTCATTTCTGCGTCTTTTTTTGTATTAACCTTTCTCAAAACATGAATAGCCTATTTCTTTTTTTTTCACCGATTTTTTATTTCGATTTTTTTTAAGGTTTTGATATTTCAATAAATATTTTGCTTAACGTATGAAATACGTGCGGCTGGGGAATTTGTTTTGTTGGAAAATTTTGTTCTTTTTTTGTTTCTTTTATTTTGTTTTTGCATTTTGCACATGTGTTTCATATCCAAGTTGTCTAATTGGAAATCTTTCTATTATTGTACATGTTCTACATTCTAATGTTTAGTAGATCTAGTAGCTTCGCTTGTAATGAGTGTATTTTTTGAAATATTTGCCAATACAAGAAAAAATCTTCTTAGAAACTTTATTTTTTTGGTCAATGATTCCTCCAGGTAGCCCTCCGCAACAGTAGAGGACTGCCATCCACTGTGATTCTTTAAAGTTGGTAGATCTCCTCCGCCGTCAACTAAAGAGGACGCCGAGGAGCGGCGGAAGCAATGTCCTGTGTATAGAGCAAAATCTGGTAACTGTAAGAATTTTTTCCAATTTTTGTGTTTTCATTTTTAAATTTTTCGACATGAAATATTTTATTTCTTTTTTTCAATACAAAATTTTTCAATTTTTGGATTTTGCAATTTCTAATTTTTGGGTTTCTAGCTTTTAGATTTTTCAGTTTACGTTTATTCAATTTTTGGTCTGTAACTTTTTTTTTTAGTTTTTACTTTAAATATAAAATGAAAAGTTTGAAAAATCTAATTCATATTGTGCCTTTTTTTCTTAATATACATAGTATTTCATGTTTTTAATTTCTTGTAAAGAAATAAGTATTTTGCAGTTAAGCTCCGCCCGCTTGGTTCACGTCGAATAGAAAAAATCATCACAATTGAGATAGGGCGTATGGGCGGGCTTACGTTTTGTCTTTTTGTTTAAATATGTGTAAACTTCTTTTCACAACATGAAACTTAAAATATGTTTAAAATGGAAAATTTGTATAAGGAAATATCGATTTTGCAATTTGGCTCTGCTCCATAATTGCAAAGTTTATATTTCCTTGCAAAAATGTACCATTTTAACCATATTTTAAGTTGTGAAAAGATGGCTATGTATATTAAGAAAAAAAGGCAAAATATAAACCCCGCCCACCCACCCTGTCTCAATTGTGATGATTTTTTTTATTCATCGTGAGGCAGGAAGGCGGAGCTTAATTGCAAAATACTTATTTCTCTACGAGATTTTAAAAACATGTTTTTGAGTGTCGTGTTGTTGAAAGAATACTGTGTATATTAAGAAAAAAAATAAAGCAAAATATTAGGTCCCACCCATACCCTCAGGGAAATAAAAAACTAGTTTAATCCCTTGGTCCATAATATACTATTGACAGTTTGTTTTTTTTTTATTAATTATTTATTAACGCTAGACAACACTAACTTTTTTCTGCATACTCTTCATACTAAGTTTGCACTCGAATATCCAGAACTGAACACCATTTAGTACTATTGACAACTTGAGAGGGACACGACGTAATGTATAGTCAAAGGAAAGAAGACCTCTGAGGCATGTCGATGACGCTGGATAGTTCGCTAATCAGTAACTAGGAAACTGTAAAAGTGTCCATTATAAATAGTTGAAAGTGGTGTTTACTAGAACAGGATTGAATAATTCGGTCAAATCACTTTGAAATTACAACCTCTGCAGGAACATTTTTATTTTGTATAATGTTTATATGTTGCTAAATAAATAAACTTTAACTATTGCTCATTTTTATTACCCGCATTTTTCAAAATGAGACGTGAAGGCCTCGTATACATTTTTATAGAGAGTATTTCTTTCCGTATTTAACTGGACTTGAGACTGCTGCTTTTAATGAAGACATAAACGGCTACTATAAACAACAAACCAGTTCATCAGTAATTGACTGAGTAAAAGTTTTCTATCAATGTTTTCTCTGGTTCCCACCAGATGACTCCTCCTGTAGGATCCTCTCCCGACGCCCATTATCGACGCTGTTTGACGTCATGCGCGCCTTTCCATACAGTCCCCGTCAAAACTCGACCGCAAGTTGGTCATGACAAGCAGACACAAAACTGTCACGACCAATAGCCGCAGGAATCCAATTACGAACCCCCAATTTGTTCAAGAATCCCCCCTTCGAACCCAACTTAATTACAGCTCTTTCTCGCTAGAAGCTCTTTTTCCCGTCTCTTAAAGCTCTCCTGAAAAATGAGACTCGCGTCCCGAAGCTCCGCTTTCTGAGCTTTCCGGCGAATATCGATTCCGAAACATTGTTCTGTTTCCTCCGCGGAATGTACTCCAGCTGATCGATTCCCGGTTGAGGCAGTCGAAAGCTCAACCACCATAGCCTACAGTAACACTAACAAACACTTTTCGTTTTCGTCCTGAAGAGGCCAAACTCGAAAACGTAGCGCGGAAGCTGGACATAGTGTACAGTGAAGTGGGGTTTTAGAGCTTTTTCGTAAACTCGGAAGGTGAGTTTTGGTGGCCGTTTTCATTGTTATGCTCTTGTTTACCCAGTTGCAATAGCTGGATTTTTGCACGACCTTGGAGAGATTACTGCGTCGCGGGGCTTTTTATGTAATTTTGATTAGGTGCAGCTTTGAGCTTTGGCATCGATTTGACATTAATTGGCCACTTGTCGAAACTTAATTATGCGAGATTAGAGGAGAGATCTTCAGGGCGGAAAATAGATTCGAGCTTTTTTTAGAGCTTTCGTGAAATGAGCCAACTAATGTACATTAATTTGGTGCTGTCACGACAAAAAATTTTGTTATTTGTTATGTATGTTCCATTTAGCGCTACATTAAGTTATTCATGAAGGGTTTTATTGAGCTTTTAGTGTGTTGTCAATACGATGCATTATAACAAATTGCTATGCAAATTTATTGGTTGTGCGGGTTTGGGAGTTTAGTAGATTTTTATTGGGTTTTTACTGACTGTTAAAAATTTTGTTACCCATTTTCTTTGTTTGGAAGTTACATAACGTTCATCAGATGGAATACCAATCGATAAGTCCGATTTTGAATTAATAATCGTGAAGATGTCCTTCAAGTAGATTTTATAGGGTTTTTATCACGGCTGGAAAATTCGTTACGTCGCTTCTTTTTTTGTATTGTTACCGCACTACTTTGTGACGATAAGTGACTGGCGCTTGATACCGAGTTTGTTATCACTTCCGGTGAACCATTAATTTGAGTTATAGTCTAGAAATGGACGCAAACAGTGAAACGTCGGTAGGTACTTATTCAAATTTTTTGTTTAAAACGAGGTTAAATATCCAGCGATAACATTATCATTCCTGCGGTGAGTTATCAAAACTCCTTTTACATGACAGTCACTGCTTTTCCAACGCCCGACTACCACAATGCCAAAAGCGGGTAAATAAATCTCCCTTAAGCCGCGTCCTTCTAACTCCTTCTTTTTTTGAAAAGTTTGAACCTTAGGTGACCACGCGTTCGAGCTCCGCAAGCGTCAATCCAGACTGTTATCCTGGGTGGAAATACCTCTAGGTTATGTAAGCCGCGAGATCAATTTTTGCCCATTCCTTTTTCTATGATTGTTCTGTTTTTGTTGCAGATGGCCGGAGCCGATTCGAAATGGCAGAAGGATGCTGCCGATCAAAACTTTGATTACATGTTCAAACTTCTTATCATCGGGAACAGTTCAGTCGGGAAGACGTCTTTCTTGTTTCGATATGCTGATGATAGTTTCACATCGGCCTTCGTCAGTACGGTTGGTATCGATTTCAAAGTCAAAACCGTCTTCAGGCACGACAAACGCGTCAAGCTCCAGATATGGGTGAGTGTTATCTTGATTGTGACAAGATGTTTTACTAAATGGGGTTGCTTGGAAGGACACCGCCGGTCAGGAGAGGTACCGGACAATCACGACAGCGTACTACAGAGGAGCTATGGGTTTCATACTCATGTATGACATCACGAACGAAGAGTCTTTCAACAGTGTGCAAGACTGGTGAGTAGCCGAAAAACCACGTCTTGCATTGTAAATCCCGACCATGTCCGAAAACCAGGCAAAATAACATTTTTCCCATTCTGATTTCTCCAGAGGACGCTACCAAACTTTTTCCATCACGAAATGTCATTTTCGAAGTTGAGGACCTTTTTTGTGTGTTTGAACTAATTACGCCCCTTTAGAAATGCGAAAAGCTTGTTTGAGCTTCTTATTTTCGTTATAAATTCGCTTTGTTTGTTTGCTTTTCCCTTTAGTAGCTATCTTTAGCTCATCAAAATTGTACGAACACTCCGCTGCGCTCGTAATCTTTTGCCACTTCTTGCAAACTTCGTTCAATCGAAACTCGCTTATTAAACTTCCTCTTCGATGTCGTTTAAGAGCCGGAAGTATTGGTTAGGAACAACGGGATCAAATCCCTGAAGAATTCGTCGTATTGATTTATTGAAATCGAGGTCTCCGCGATGATAACTTTCAACAACGATCATTGTTCAATGTTAATTCGATGGATTTAGAGCGTGCGATAAGACGACCTGATTTGTTTTCGCACTGATAAAATTTGCCACGATTTACGGAAAGTTATGCTTTTAAAGTTTGCGGACTCGTGGCTTATTTGTTGAAATGTCTCGTGCGTTCATAAATTTTGCTGTCATTTTCGTTTCAACAATATATCTTAGCGTAGCTCGACATGTTTTTGTTGTTTTAAATGAGCTTAGGGACGGGATGCTTGCTTTTGAATATTAAATGCCTTGAAGCAAGAAAATATATGCGAATTTGCGTTCAATAGAAGCGCTTTTAACTCTCTGCTTTCTGTTAAAAATGAGACTTGAAATATTTTTTGCTGTAAATGTATTCATGTTATATTGGAAGCTAATAACTATGTATTATATTTGCAATTGTAATCGGGAAGTCGAAGATGAAAACGGCGACACGATTTTTATTAGCTTTTTGCTTTTTGATATTTTCCTCGACAAGTAAGAAAAAATCATTATATACAAGGCGGGGCGCACTCAAATGTGAATATCTGTTAAAATCTCAACATTAAAAATGTACGATCATTGTAGCAGTGTATGATTAAAGGTATATCGATTAGAATATTTCGGGAGATTGTTCATTTTAAGAATTGTACTGAATTCAATAACTGTCAGTCCTCAAACGCGAAGTACATGATGGCTTGTTTTGATCTGTCAGACTATAATTAATTATACCAGCATTACACAACGGGATAACCGATGCGAACTAAGCGACTGTAGAACCTATCTCAGATTCATCATGAATTGCCACAAAAGCTCTAACTGAGATTTAAAGCACAATAGAATCTATAATATAATCAAACAAGTTACTAACAATTTTGTTAATTATCAAGCTGACTATTTTTACGTGGTTTATTAGTGCTATATCGGGTCATATCAACATGCAAATGAAACCAGATAAAGCAAACAAATATGCTCTTTTTGTGGCATAAACACACCGCAATAATTTAACTCCCACATTCCAAATAGAGGCTAGATATGGACTCTCTTGAGATTGAAAAATCATCTTTAAATAACTCCGAATGGAAAGCTCTGAAAGATTTATTAATATTGATCGGTGGGAATGGTGTAATTTGTTATTCCGTTTGAATCGGGAGTGTTTTATGAGCGTATTACACATCCTTTCGGATTTTTAATCACACTTCCAGCTTTTATACGCTTTCCGGTTATTAAAGTGGACCGAATTTAATTACTGATGTTGGGCGCTGTACAATAATGAGTCAGCAGATGATGATTTTTGCTACATTTTACGTTGCGACATGAGTTCTAATTACGGAACAAATTGGCTACTAAAATAAGCGTACAAATTGTTCATTGCATGCATACAGAGTAAACAGCGGTGGAAAATGTATGTGACCTACAGTGTACAGCAGAAATCCATTAACACAGTATCGTATAAAAGCGGGGAATTTTACACCTCATAAAGTTTTCTTCCAGCCACTCCTGGTTTCGGAATTGTGGTTTTTCGCACTACGTTTTGTAAATAATAAGAAAGTAAAACCAATAAGGTCTGGAAAAAGTTTTCTTTGCGGTTTCAAAGAGCACGAGTTCGAGAAATCAAAGTTCACATGTTGCTGGTATTTATCAACAGAAAAGAAAACAAAGGGAGCTTTCAAGTTGGCTTACATGAAAAATTTAGACGCAATATTCGCTGAAAACCAAATGCGTGGAAGTCTGGTACGATATTTTCAATACAGCTGGATTATTGACGTTAGAATGCCAACTTAAAACGTAGTACGAGTCATCCTTGGTACCTTAATTACACACTGCATGATTTTCAACAGCTGGACGCTAGTTTAGAATTGTTTATGCCTAGAACTTTTCTTTTAAAACCTTGATTTTTTCGAAAAATTTCGCTCGAATATAAATTACATTATCTACCAACGTCCCGTTAACAATTAAATTAAAATCTGTTATGTTTAGTTTGAAATTAATTTTCGTGTCTAATTAACTTAGTTGTTGCACCAACTCATGTTTTCATTAGCTGGAATTAATTATGACTCTCATGTACACATTTGTGAGAAATACCAGTTAATTGGCTTGAGTTAAATGTTTGCCTTTAGTAAACTTTAAATTAATATTGAAATTCATTCAATTCATTGTCACACAACGGTGAAATATATTTTGGATTTAACGTGAAACCCGCAGACGGGATTAGCGTATTGTAACTCCGAACCAGACTGGAGTTTTTAATTATGAATTACTGAATAAATATTTACAGCTTTTATTTTCTTGAAAAGGTTGTATAATCAGATTGTTTTTCATTATCCCGGACACGGCTTATACAGTTTTTCTTGTTTGCGCTTCATTAATAATTTTTTTTGTTTTCTAACTGTTTATAAAAGTGATTTGGAAGTTACTGGTTTACGAACTAATTTATTTTATCGATTATTTCAGTAACGACTCGTCTAACTGATCTAAAGCTGCGGAAAACCGATTAGGTTGTAATTAGTGTTATATTGTTCATACGATTAATAACAGGTGATTTTTTTATGTGAGAATTTGTTGACAGAACAAATTTAAAACCTTCGTTGGACCTAAAATGATTTATTTAAGATAAGGGAAATGTTGGCCCCTAGTTTCGGTATAATAAATTGACTCGGCGTTTCATATTTTCAAATGCTAGAGTAAGAACTTCCCGGAAGACATTTTCACACTCTTGTATGATTCTCAGTTTTAGATCTTCATTTGTATCTAGTGATTATTTAAGCAACAAAAAATAATCTTAAGCTGTCAAATTAGGTGATTCAGGTAGGTAGATTGGTTTGATTATATGGTCGTCATAAAATTCCCCTAGAAAGTTCAAACTTGTTTGCGCTGTTGCATCGTCATGCTGAAAATATCCATGCTGAAATTCTTCAGGATCAAGCTTGTCAATAAATTCTTACAGCTTTCCGACAAGTTGAATATAACAAATCAACTTGTTGCGAAAGCCTTCTTATGGGGGTTATCATCCATAACCTGTTGGTATTTTTTTTTAAAATTAGCCTCATGATTTTTCTATGATTTTCGGAAAACATTTTTCTCGAGTTGAAAATTCTGTATCTGTGCGAAAACAAACCTGGATAGTTTTGACTCACTCTCAAATAAAGATCTGGCTTTGAAAAATACCGATTTGTGTTGAAAATTGGAAAAACAATAAGCAAAACGAGTTTGTAAAAACGAACACAAAGCACAATTTACGTTAAGCTCCGAGATTATAGGCAACTCACAACAACGCAAGCTGTATGCTCCAAAAGACGACCTACGCAATTTGGTCATATAATGGGCAGCGGAAAGTAGATCACAATTTTTATTATTAACAAAAAGCTGTTTTAAATATAGATCTCTTATCTCGACAGTTGTTATTTTATTTTAAATTACATTGAAAAAAATCTCAGTAACTTTTACCATAACGAGTATTAAAAAATAGGTTAAAATATATACTGTGTAGTTGGACGGATAAAGCGTTTCATCAAAACGACGTGATAGGACCTGGGTCAGTTGCGCGCCCCGGTCTAACAAATCTGCGAGTGGTCCTAATCCCATTGGATATCGGTTCTGTACATCGGTTCTATCGACCTGAGAGGTCATGGACAGTTGCGTGCAACGGTTAGAAGATTTGTATATAATTTTTATTTTAATAGTAATAATTTTACTCATAGGCCATTAAAATATATATCGATCTTTTTTGTGTCATACTCTTACCCACTTGATTATTATTACTGCACTTATTGAAATTTCTGACCTTCGGTATGAGATACGACGGCACAGATAAATCTGTGATTTACTGCTTTAATTTTTGTGCGCAAAATCGTTGTGAGAATGGGGCTTGAGGTGCAACTCGTCATTTTATCTACTGGATGTAATGAGCCTTTGGAAAAAAGTTTGGCCGAGAATTTAGTACGCAACGCTCGTTTTGGATTATCATAAAATAATTAAATTCGTAATTTTTTGTTTCATTTTCTTTCATTCTTCGGTTCCCAAATTTTTAAGTGTTTCGTTTTCATAATTTTTAGCTTTTTCAATTTTTAATTTCTCGACTTCCAAATTTTTCAATTTTTCGTTTCTTCAATTTTTGATTTCTCGAATTGTCAATTTTTCAAGTTTTTGATTTATAATTTTCATTTTCTAGATTTTGTTTCACTTTTTTTTCATTTCTTTTATTTTTTCAATGTTCCTTTCGATCTTATAATTTTTCGTTTTTTCATTTTTGATTTTTCAGTTTTACAATTTTGAAATTTTTCCTTTTTTTTCGAAAAGCTGAAAAATTGAAACACTGAAAAACTAAATATCGAAAAAAATTAGCGAACCCCAAAATTGGAAAACCCAAAGTTGTAAAATCGAAAAACTGTAACATTAAAAGATCAAAAAACTGAAAAATTTAATACCCAGGAATTGAAAAATTTTAAATCAAAAATCGAATAAATGAGGAAGTTTTAAAATTCAATTGTAAAATTGAAAAATTCTAAAATTGTAAAATTGAAAAAGTGGTACATTTTAAAAATTATTATTATTCATACTTAAAATGACGACTAGAAAAATTGCAAATCAAAAGCTGAAGAAATGAAAAATCACAAAACTGAAAAATCTAAAATTGAAAAATGAAAAATTAAAAATTTAAAAGTTGAATGATCGAAAAATTGCAAATCGAAAAACTGAACAAGTTACAGTAAAATTTCAGTTAGATTCAGTTAAAAAAAAATGGTTGAAGGTTATTTCAACAGAACTTTCTTCGCCCTGAATTGCAACCCTATAAACCCCGCTTTTTTGAAAAATTATTATAAAAATTTTCCGTATCTTTTGCGATTTTTCATTTTTTTTATTTTTTTTTTGCTTTTTTGAATGTTTAGATTTTGCAGTTCTTGAATTTAAAATTCCAGAGTTTTCAATTTAAATTATTTCAATTTTTCGTTTCTTTAATTTTGCGACTGCACCTCCTCGAGGTTTTATTTTTAAATTGTTTAGTTTTCCAAATTTCGGATGCTTCGATTTTTTGGTTTTGCAATTTTTCGATTTACGATTTCCACAATTTTCAATTTTTAAAGTTTTGTAATTTTTGGTTTTTCAGTGTTCCGATTTTATAATTTTTCTTTTCTTCAGTGTGAAATTTATCAATTTTTGGATTATTCAATTTTTCGATGTGTAATTTTTGGGTTTTCAATTTTTAGATTTTACACCTAATTTTTTAATATTTTTTTCTCAATTTTAGATTTTTAGTTCTTCGGATTTTCAATTTTTCATTTCATCAATTTTTGATTTGCAACTTCTAGTTTTCATTTTAAATATGCATCTTATACCTTTGTAATTTAAAAAATTTTCCACTTTTTCAATTTTAGGGTTTTAGAATTATTCCATTTTTTAATTAGTGGATTTTAAATCTTTTTTATTTATTGGATTTTTCACTTTTTCGATTTTTAATTTTTCAAATTCTGGATATTTAATATCTCAATTGTTCAGTCTTTCAATGTTACAGTTTACAACTTCAAAATTTTGACGATACTAAAATGTTTCAATTTTACAATTTTTGGCTTTTTCAATTTTTGGATTCATTAGTGTTTTGGATATTTAAGTTACTCGACTTTCAGTGTTTCAATGTTCCGATTTTGAGTTTCCTTAGTTCTTCGATTTTTAAAGTTTTTTGATTTTTAATTGTTCGATTTTGCAATTTTTCGTTTTTTCAATTTTAATGTTTCTAGTTTTTCGACTTGCGATTTTTCAATTTTTCATATTTTTTTTGTTTTTTTTTTTTCAATTTTTCGGATTAAAATTTCTCGAATTTACAATTTTTAAATTTCCAATTTTTCAGTTCTTTAAATTTTCGATTTGCAAATTTTGGTTTGGTTTTTTATTTTCTTTATTTTTACAATTTTTCGATTTTTCAATGTTCCGATTTTATAATTTTTTATTTTTTCAATTTAAATTTTTTTAATTTTTCGATTCTTCAATTTGGAATATGCACCTCCTCGAGTTATCAGTTTTAAATGTTTCAGTTTTCCGAATTTCCAACTTTCGGATGTTTTGAGTTTTTTGGTTTTGAAATTTTTCGATTTTCAGTTTCACAAGTTTTCAATTTTTGATTTTTTAGTTTTTAAAATTTCGTTATTTTCCGGTCTTTCAATGTTCTGATTTTATAATTTGTCTGTTTTCATTGCGAAATTTTTCAATTTTTCGATTTGCAATTTTGGGTTTTCAATTTTTCGATTTTTCTACTTTTACATTTTTTAATTTTTTTCTCTATTTGAGATTTTTCAGTTCCTCGATTTTTCTATTTTTCATTTCATCAATTTTTGATTTGCAATTTTTTTAGTTTTCATTTTAAATATGTGTCTTATAATTATCAGAATTTAAAAAATATTTCATTTTTTAATTATTGTTGGATCTTTTTCATTTGTTCGAGTTTTTAATATCTCGACATTTAATTTTTCAATTGTTCAATCTTTTAATGTTGCAGTTTACAACTTTACAATTTTGACGATCCAAAATTTGTCGGTTTTTAATTTTTCGATTAGTTTTTTTCGATATTAAGTTTCCCGACTTTTAGTTTTTCCATGTTTCGATTTTTCGTTTCTTCAATATATCGATTTAAAATTTTTTACGATTTTTTTAGTTTTTCAATTTTTATTTGTTCGATTTCAATGTTTAGTTTTTCCGACTTTTCGAATAAAAAAAATAGAAAAATCGCAAAATTGTAAAATTGAAAAATCCAAAAAGAAAAAACGAAGAAGTATAAAATGAAAACTTTAAAAAATCTAAAAATTGGAAATTAGAACTTAAAAAACTGAAGAAGAATTTTAAAATTGGCACATCCAAGAATTGAAAAATCAAAGATTGAAATTTTCGAGAATTGAATAAACGAAAAATTATAAAATCGAATCAAAATCAAGAACTTGAAAAATTGAGAAAAGGAAAAATTAGGAAATTGAAACAATGAAAAATGGAAAAATTAAAAAGAAAAGAAAATGAAAAAACGAAATTTTGTGATATCAGAAAATTGTAAAATGGATGAAAAAGGAAAACACTTTTTGTTAATAAAGCACCTAGTACAATGATTTTATCTCAATTTTACTTCGATTTAAATTCACCTTGAATGAACTTATGTAACGTCTGCAATTGGCACATAGACAAATATTTTTATTGCTCTTAAATTTTCTACCAATAAGTTCCTGTTGTAAAAATAAAACACTTTGTTGAGAATTATTATTATTTTTTTAAACTATAAGACCATTTTTTACAAAAGTAGATCTACTGATCTTTTTATCCATGTACTGCTAGATTTACTGTGAAATTATTAAACTGCAATGTAGGAAGCTTCTTTCAGCTAGATACCTGTTAGCAACCCTTATAATCCCCTACTTGTGTGCCAGTGGCCTTTTTGGGAATGAGACTGTCACAGGGTTAATTAACCGTGGCGCGCAAGTGACCAACACCCGATAGTTAATTATGCTGGATAAAATCATAGGATTCGAAAAATAAATAGTTTAAATATTTCCCATTGCAAGAAAGCGTGTTCGTTTTCTTATCAAGATGTACGTTTTATGCCATGTTTGAAATTTAATTATTTATTTAATAAGCACTAAAGAGCGTTTTTACAAAATCAGAATTATAAAGAAAGCATCTCTGGAGAGTCGAGGTTGATAAAAAAGTAAATTAAATTTCTCCCTTACAATATGTAATCAACTTTTATGGAAATGGTGGTTTGAGCTTCTGCTTCTTGGTCGACTGCAACTCAACTAGAAAAAGACAGAATACAAAATGTGTACTTTTGAGATATCGTGACAAACCGTTTAAAAAACCTGTTCTTGTGAGCTTTCTACAGATGTACTAGATCAATAATCAAGCCCATTAAAAACTTTGCTCCTTCTAGGGTAACTCAGATCAAGACGTACTCCTGGGACAACGCTCAAGTAATCCTCGTGGGCAACAAATGCGACATGGAGGACGAACGAGTAATAAGTTTCGAACGAGGCAAGCAATTAGCCGAACAACTTGGCGTAGAATTCTTCGAAACAAGCGCAAAAGAGAACATTAACGTTAAGGTAGGTTTCCAGAGTCGCGAGTTTGCGGCGCTAACGGGTTCAATTTCAGGCTGTTTTCGAGCGACTCGTCGACATCATCTGCGACAAAATGTCTGACAGTTTAGATACAGACCCCACCCTGATGAGCGGGGGCGCGAAAGGGCAACGTCTCACGGATGCGCCCCAAGGGCCTCAAGCCGCTAACTGCAACTGCTAATAATCTGAACGTTCCAACATTAAAAATTACTATAGCTGTATGGACAAAAACACTTACCTGTTGATATAACTTCGACCAGGATGTACGAAATTTGACTTATTTATAATTTAGTTTAATTGAGACTGACAATACGCATGCGTATGTATACTGCAGAACTATGTTGCTATACTGGGTGTTGCATGCGTGTGTAATTTTTATAATAAGGGGACGCAGGATGGAACCCGGAGAGGTTGCGTCCTGTCGTCTCGTTTCGCATTTTTAACATTTGAAGGAACATTTATGCATTTTATAATTTTTGAAGTTACTCAAAATAATGTCAATATTAGCAAAACGTAGATTAGAGATGGAAAGGTACCCTTGATGGAGTTATTTTGAGTTTTTTGCTATGGTTTTCGTTCCGACTTGGTTTAGACAGAGTGTCGAAAGTGTGTCATTAGAGTAGACCACTCTGTAAACAAACAGGGTTCACGCGATTGTGCCACTTTATACGTTGCAGGTAAACTACGCTTTATCCCCATGTTGCCAACTGTGAAAGAAAGGCGTAATTTGCAGCCCCGACACAACCCTGAGTGTTAAATTTATGTAAGAGACGTATCATATCTTTGGCCTAAAACGGCATTTGTTTTAGACTACGTGTTGTGTTATTCTAGGAGTGGGAGGTAGAGGAAGCTTAAAACCAAAATGCGTCTGTAGTTAACCTACGTTACTAATTAAAGACAACAGAATAAATGTGAACTTGTAAATATAGAAATTGTATGTTCGCTGTTACGTTTAGAGATTGATTTTTTATTTTGTTACATTGTTAAGGATCTGTTAATAGTCGCTTTCATCTAGCGTAAGTTTTTTTTCAAGGTCGCAAGGTATAGCTCGATGATCAACAAGAGGTGTCCAATTTCATCTTGACTCTCAGTAGAGAGATACAGGTCGCCTTCCCCCAAACCTTTAATCGATGTAAAGAGATAATCAGTAATCACGTTGACTACATTTATAAATTCCATGTCTTCTGGTCAATGTCTCAAATTGAACTTTCCTAAGCTTCAGCTGGACCTTTTTCAAAACAACTTACGTCATTCAGTATAGATGTTATTAATGTTTTGCGATTAATCGACGATTTTTCTCCAGCTGAAGTCGTTTCTATAAATCTGTGCCTCACTTAACAATGGATGGGTTCAGATTCAAGCCAGACGAAGAATGGGTGTCTGAGGATCGCACATTTTCTAGACCTGCTCCAAGCTTTTGGAATTTTTACCAATTCTAGAGGCTTCCAGCGGGCGCTCATTGTTATGTTAAATGGATTGTACAATATTAAACATTATTTTGTGAATTAGTGTATAATAAAATAGTGTATATGCCTGAAGGATTTGTTATTTCAGCAAAACTTCCACCAAAGTAGGATCAGAAAGTTCTTGCTGATGGCAATTGTACACAAAACATTAAGTCTTATCTACGCGACGCAGTGTTTTCACAAATAAAATTAACTTTAGTTATGCGCCCGACAACTAGTGGAATTTAATTTTCGTAATGCCTGGAATAACAAGAATTAGGGAGACTTTGGGAACTGAAAAACACTTGCGGTAATTTAATTACGGCTTTAGACCTGGTGCTTTAAACTCACAATTGTTGTACACGTATACGAATTAGAGAAAGGAAAAAAGCTAATATTCTGAAGAGTTTAATCGAGTCTATTTGTTTAGTTTATTATTTCAGTAGAAAATTAGGCATCGGAATTTGTTTTTTTTTTCTCTTGAGCGTAAGCAAAGAAAGCTTGTAATCGCGTCCATTGGCTAGCTACTTTTATGTTTTCTTGGTGTTTCATGACTCTTAGAGTACGAAAAAATATGTCTCACGTTTCCGTCTTTCTGTCTCCCGTGTTTTGGATTTTTATTAGACAGATAATTTCCGAAACTACCGGACCAATTGTTGGCAAATTTTGTACGTGTATTAGGAATATCATTTACGAGTAGATGGTAAAATGCTAACTAAAATTAAGCTAACCGTCCTCACGTGATCTTCAAAATTTACAATAGTTATTTTGTTTTTACTTTTATAATATAAGATATTCCTGTACCTGTGGTGTATGAATCCGTGTTGAGTTTTCATCCCAGACATCGAGATTTTTGAAAAAAAAAAAAAATCAGAATTGTTTAAAAAAAATTTTGCAATTTAATTTTAAAACTGCAGAACCGAATGCTCTAAAATCTTGTAAATTGTTTAAGGTTGCAGGTAGTATGGTAAATAGTTAATTAAAATTTATTCGTTTATCGCTTCCCCGAAAATTTGTTAAATCAACTCAAAATAATAAATCTTCTCTGAAATATGCAAAATATTATGACTCTACTTGTGGTTTATCAATGCAATCATAGTTGTTAGAATTATTTATACACGGCGATTCAAAAATATTAATGAGTGAGGCAGTTTATGGTGTTGATTAAATCAAGAACGATTAACTCGACTTAATTTTTCAATTTTTCGTTTCCTCAATTTTTCAAGTTTTATATATCGCAATTTTTCGTTTTTTCATTTGCTTTGTTTTTTCAATGTTGCTTTATAATTTTTTGTTTATGCAGTTTTTCAAATTTTAAATCTTTGGTTTTTCAATTCTTAGATTTTCCAAATTTTAAAGTTTTTAATTTTGCAATTTTTCGATTTCTCAAGTATCCGATTTTCCAATTTGTTTAGTTTTCGGTATTTCGATTTTGCAATATCTCGTTTTTTCGATTTTTAGGTTTCTCAATTTTTAATTTTTCAACTTTCAGTATTTCGTTTCTTCAATTTTTCAAGTTCTTAATTTCCAGTTTTTAGATTTTCAAAGTTTTCATTTTATGTTTTTTTCTTTTCCTTTGATTTAACAATTTTTGGATATCACAAATTTTCTTATTCATTTTCTTTCATTTTTCAATGTTTTCATTATTCAACGTTTCGGTTTCATAATTTTTCGTCTTTTCACCGTTAAATTTTTCAATTTTTTGATTTCCCGACTAAATTTTTCAGTTTTTCGTATCCTCAATTTTTCATTTTGCAACTTTTTATTTTTGCAATTTTTCGACACCATAGTTTTTCATTTTTCGATTTTTCAGTTTTCGAATATTTAATATTCTAGTTTTTCAATTTTTCGTTTTCAGTTCTTGATTTTTATTTTTCAATGTCCAGATTTCTTAACTTTCATTTTCTGTTTTATGTCAGAATTTCATTTACTTTATTTTTTCAATGTTATTTTATAATTTTTCGTTTATTTCAATTCTTCGTTTTTCCAAATTTCAAATTTTTTAATGTTATGATTTTTCTATTTCTCAAGTATCCGATTTTCCAATTTCTTTAATTTTCAGTATTTCGATTTGACAATATATCGTTTTTTTCGATTTTTAGATTTCCCAATTTTTAACTTTCGACTTTCAATATTTCGTTTCTTCAATTTTTAAAGTTCTTAAATTCCAGTTTTTAGATTTTTCAAAGTTTTCATTTTATGCTTTTTTCTTTTCCTTCGATTTAACAAATTTTGGATATTACAAATTTTTGTTTTTCATTTTCTTTCATTTTTCAACGTTGCGGTTTCATAATTTTTCGTCTTGTTCAGTTTTTCCTTTATCCAATTTTTCGATTCACAGTTTTTCAATTTTGCAATTTCATGTTATAATTTTTCGTTTTTTAATTTTTGAGTTTTTTAATTGTTTTTCTTTTTCAAATTTTCGCTTCCTAAATTTTTAATTTTTTTGGATTTATTTATCTTCGATGAATTCCTTGGTATCACAGTTTTTTGTTTTTTCGTTTTTTACATTTTTCAATTTTTCGCTTTGCAATTTTTAGGTATTACAATTTTTACATTTTCGATGTTTCCGTTTCTCAATTTTTAATTTTTCGTTTCCTCAATTTTTCAGGTTCTTGTTTTTTTTTCATTTTCCTGATTTTTAATTTTCATTTCCTTTAATTTTTCGCTTATTCAATTTTTGATTTTTCATTTTTTGGATTTTCCAAATTTAAAATTTTTTAATTTTGCCATTTTTGGATTTTTCAAGTATCCGATTTTCCGTTTTCTTTATTTTTCAATATTTCGATTTTACAATATCTCGTTTTTTGATGTTGCACTTTTTCGATTTTTAGGTTTCTCAAATTTTAACCAACTTCTTAATTTCCAGTTTTTAGATTTTTCAACGTTTTCAATTTATGCTTGTTCATTTTTTAATTTTTGATTTTTCAATTGTACAATTTCGCAATTTTTCAATTTTTTTTAACGAGAAACTGAAAAAACGAAAAATTGCAAATCAAAGAACTGAAAAAATGAAAAACTTAAAACATTAAAGAATTAAAACTCGAGAAACTTAAAAATCGAAAAAAAAATTAGTGAATTGAAAAATTAGAAAGATGAAAAAACGAATCGAATCGAAAAATTGGAAAACCCAAAATTGTAGATCGAAAAGTTATAGAATCGTCAAAATTGTAAAATCGAAAAACTGTAAGACCGAAAAATTGAAAAATGAAAATGTTTTAAAATCCAGCAATTGAGAAATGGAAAAATTCTAACATTGTAAAAAAATTAGAAAAGTTGCGAATGAAAAATTGAAAAATCGAGATATTCAGAAGGAATAATTTAAAAATCTAATAGTTGAAAAATCGAAAAATTGAAAACCGGAAAACTGGGAGTTGAAAAATTGAAAAATTAAGAAATCAAAAAATTGAAAAATTACACTCGTGAAAATGCAAATCCAATAATTGAAACATCCATAAGTTGGAAAACCGATAAACTGAAAAATTTAAAATTGAATACTGAAAGAGCATATCGTAAAATTAAAAAACTAAAAGAAAAATCAAAAATTGAAATTGAGAAAACAAAAAATTGACATTAAAACTTGAAAAATTGTAAAAATACAGAAAATATAAAATCGAAACGAAAAATTTCGAATCTAAGATATGAAGAAACGAAAAATTAAAGAATTGAAAAATTCAATAATAAAAAACTGAAAACTCGAGAAATTTAAATCGAAAAATTGCAAAATCTAATAATTGAACAATTCAAAAGTTGGAAAATTGAAAAACTAAAAATTTTAAAAATCTGAAAATTGAAAAATCAAAAATGGAAAACCGAAAAACTGCGAGCCTAAAAAACTGAAAAATTTCACGACGAAAAATCAAGGAATTAAAAATTCAAAACTCGTGAAAATGCAAATCCAAAAATTGCAAAACCTAAAAATTGAAACATCCAAAAGTTGTAAAACCGATAAACTGAAAAATTTGAAACTGAAAACTGAAAGGAATCTCGTAAAATTGAAGAAACAAAAAATGAAAAAATTTAAATTGAAAAAACAAAAAAACTGGACATTGAAAAATTGTAAAAATAAAGAAAATACAAAATCGAAACGAAAAATTTCGAATCGAAAATTTGAAGCATCGACAAATTAAAGAATCGAAAAATTCAATGATTAAAAACTGAAAACCCGCGAAATTTAAATCGAAAAATTGTAAAATCTAATAATTCAAAAGTGGATTTTACTTTATAGTGGTTATCAGACAAATTTGCAAAAAAATAAGAGTTTTTCAAAGAACCGGGATTTTTTGTGCTGCTCTTTAGGTGCGAGGGAAGTTCCACGGAAATAATCTTGGGCCAATTTTTAATTTTTTGTTAAGGTAGAAATTAATTGTGGAGCTTTTGAACTGAATATCAAAAATATTTATTCATTGTCAATAATCATCAACTTAATGTACAAATAATATAAAAACTTTACCTTTTTTAGTATGGGAGTTTATAAGTCTGAAGTAATTTAAAAAAAATATTTTAAACGATTCCAGCCATTTTTACGTTTCAATATACCAACTGGACGACGTTGAGGAGCAACTTTAAACCTGTGCACCTCACTTTAAACTGTCTCTTTCCAACAATAGTTTTCTGTGTTTATTTTAATCCCACAGTTCTACATTAACGGGAATTTTTTTTTCCTTACTTTATTTTTATACAGAATGGTTAAAATATGTTCGGTTTGCGTTTTTACCGCCCGACAGAAGTAATATCATCATCTTATCTCATTCTGTTTGACCGTTTTTGCTCAAACTAAAAACTAAAGTTGTTTCTAGACGTCCTTAATTACGTTTGTTAATACAAAAAAGAATTACATGGTCGTATTCCTAATAGAAGTTTCAAATGATGCTGCTTGAACATTCCTAAAGTCATTTAAATCATAGCATTTTAATTAGTCGAAAATTTTATGCTCAGATATTTCTTCTACATCAGAATTATATACAGCTTTCATAAAAAACCTAAAAAAAATATTCCTGATCAAACAAATTCCAGGCGAATCTCTTATGCCCCTATCCACTTATTTCTTTATCTCAATTTAACCAAGATATCGTTCGGTGGCATCTAGAATCAATACTCACCCCCAGAACAAACGCAAATTATCATTGCGAACTTGCAAAGCTTGAAGCATCAGCTAAATCATGCATGAAATTGTTATATCCTGTGAGAATAAGCCTGGAAGCTCCGCCGAGTTCCCTCGGGAAGTTAAATGTTGACGATGTTTTTATCTTTCACTTTTATTGTTGGTGTAAGTTGTATTTTCAGGAAGATTGTCTTGTTCCGCTCGATTCAAGAAACCGGAAAAGCTCCGCACAGAGAAGCATAATAGAAGCAAGCATGCAGTAAGTTCTCGCCTTCCTGTTCCTTGTATATTCTTATTACGAATGTTATTTTGTGCCAAGATAATAAAGCGAATCTATTGGAGTTTTCTGAGCGGGGTGCTACTTGATCGAGGTTAATTGCTAGCCGCCTGATGCTTTCCCTCCGAGAGGCGGCGAATATTGTCCCCGGAGCTGGTAAATGAAATTTGCTCGTCTTTATTGAAATTAGCACAAGTTGTTTCTCGTCGGTGCAGATGGCGCAGAGGAGGGAATCGATCTGCGGTTGAGGGGCGGGGAAGAAGAGAAAGTGTATTCTAAGTTCATATATTTGTCAACAATAAAGTGTTTTTAAATTAGCTATAATTTACAAATTTGTGACAATAACTTAAATCTCTATGTACAATATATACAACAAAATTTTGTTTAAAATATTTTCTGGAATATGTCGCTCAAGTTTAGATAGGGTTTATCATAGACATTTAGAGAGCTCAACTACCGTCAATTTTAAACGTGTGATTTAATGTTAGTGCGTCGTTTAAAGTTTACGAAAATATTTCAAACAAACAGTATCTAAACATCACAAGTCATATGGTTTCTTTTATATATCTGAAATTATATCATTCAATTCCAATAAACTTTAAAATATCAACAATAGGATAGAGAAATACTTATATCTAATGAGTAGACGGAGAGAAATCTTTAAAATTGACTCGAAAACTTGGACAGCGTCACGTTAACCGACTTAGATAAAATTTGAAATCCTTAAAGCTACACGTTTCGAAACGACTTTTGTGATAATGGTTTGAATGTGATGCTGCCCGCGTTTAAACAACAACACTATAATATGTTCTTTGTATCTATACTATAGCCAACGTTGGCATCTTATAACCTTTGTTTCATTTGCATAAGACTTTAATATCACCAATCTACTTAAAAAATTCTAAATATAATTGGCAGTATATATTATTCAAATTTAAAACTGAGTTTGATTATACGTTAAATACTTTTCCAATAATACAACGGCAATCAAAGTGAAACCAATCGTGACGAAACCCAATTTTCAAAATTCCTACAAAGAGAACCAGTCCTAGTTAAAAGGCGACGAGGTCCGAACGACCTCCAAAGATAAAGGCTTCTAATAACACTTAGTGGTCGTTTCTTATCACTCTACAAATCTAAGGCCGTTTCTTCATTTCGTAGGCACACCGATTCGATCGTGCCTAAACCTGAATCAACGACTCGCGAAAAAGTCTACGAAATAATCGAGATGAAAATGGTCGATGATCATACTATAATTGTAAAGTTAAATACCATCAGCACGTCCACCGCGCGTTCAAGGCGGCTCCACCGGCTCCTCCTTGTCCCTGATAGCCTTAAGAAGATGACTCCTCAACTCCGACTCGGAGCTCCTCCAAAGCAACACCAACTCGTCCTTGGACAGCCTCTCCAGCGGCGACCTCCCGTTGGAGTTCCGCGGCGAGCAGTTCGGGGGCGGCGGAGCCGGCGGCAGCTCCTCCTCCCGCCGCTTCCGCGACTTCACCGGATTGCCGTCCAGAGACTTGGACTGCTCCCCCAACCTATTCCTCTTAGCGGGTTCAGGAACCTGGGAGTCCCCCAAGCTCTGATGACGCGTCTTCATCCTGCGCTTCCTCACCGGTTCACTCCTCGTCGTGTCTTCCACTTGTATCCTAATCTGCGGGTTGGTGTTCGTTTTGGCGTTATTGTCTGTCTGTCTTCTCTTCAGCTGGAATTGGAGTTGCTCGATAGTTTGCTTATTCCTCCGCGCGATCTCTTCATCCGACAAGTTACCCGCGAAGTTTTCGGGCTCCGACACGTTGTTGAAACTTTTCGCTGAGGATACTTGACTCGGTTTTTCGGTTTTCGTCAAAGTTTCGTCGCTTTTCCCCAACGTCAAGCTGTATTGGGGTTGCAATCTGTGTCTTTCCACGGGTTCGCGGTACTTGGGTAGCGTGGCCAACTTCCGGCCTATGCTCTCCGAGTCGGACAACTTTCTTAAAGGTTCGTTTGACTTGGAGCTGGCGTCTGACACGTTCTCGATTGACAGGACGGGACTTTTCCCGGCTAATTTGTTCCCGGTGCTGATGATGTCCAAGTAACTTGACCTCCTGCTGTTGATATCTGGGGGACTGCTGGTCAAGAAACTCGACGCGTCTTTGCTCAATCGTCTCCCTACGGCTGTGCTATGGTCGACCTTCATCGTTTGCGAGTTGAAGACGCTGTCGGTGCTGAATCGTCTCACGTTGAGGGCCGTCGAGCTTCTCGCTTTGTTTTTCGAGCGTGGACTAAACAACGGCTTGTTGAAAATCATCGTGGGTGATTTAATTTTCTGTGTTTCCGTCTTGGGACTCGATCGCATGAAGGTTCGCCGGAGAATGCTGGGGCTTAATTTGGATTTTTTCTCGTCGGGCGACATCTGGTATTCCGAGTCGACTTCCGTTACCGGTTCGAGTGGCGGCTCGCGTTCCTCTTGCTGTTGCCTGCGAATCGTGCTTTATTTTTAAAGTTGATTTATGGGCTACTTCCTAATATCTAAATACGTACCTTCTAATTTCCTGGATCATTTCGAAGAACTGAGCTTTGCTCTTTCTCCGACGTCGCTGTTCATGTTCCTTCTGAAACAATAATCATCAAGGAGTTTTGCACGAGGTGAATAAGGGTAGAGGAAAGGCGGGAAGGGCGTATGATAAGATGCTGATAATGACGATAAGAAAAAAATTTGTCGCAAGGAGAACTTCTTTAATAACAACTATTAGTGTCATGTATTTGTTAAAATTTTGTATACAATGTATAGTGGCTGAGAAAACTTTGAGGTAGTTTCGATATGAAATTTTTTAGGTGTAATTAGGGCGGGTAGGGCGGCGTCAGATGGTAAGCAAATGAGGCGCAACTTTGTAAGAGGTCGTAAAAAATGTATTGTCAAAGCCTGCTACGCATTCTCTCTTCGTTCGTTGTACTAAACGTTCCTAGCAAGTGCTTGTTGGTTCTGTTTTTATGGTCGGTCCCGGGGCACACGTCACCCTAAAACTGGATATGCGAAATTAACAAAATTATTTATTAGTAATAGTCTATCATGGTGACATAGAACTTTGTTCTTTTTGAAACTAAACTTGTAAATTTCAGGTACGCAAGAACATCTCGAAATAGGTGGTAAATGATAGTTCGCTATGAAGTAAGCAAATTAGTAAAAATTGTAGAACAGAAATGAAGAAGGCTATTAAATAGAAAAATAAAATGTTCCATATAAACTGAGTAAGCGCATTTTGGGTACGAAAAATACAAAAGTTTGAAGTTGCCTGTGTGAGAAAATTTTCCATCAATCAAGAAACAAAAAGAACAAAAAATCATGCAAATGCAAACGTAAAAGTTATTACAATGTTATATGAAATGAAATGAAACTATCAAGCGAGGATTCTTCGAAGTAGAAAAGATGATAGGGAGAGCCGCAGGTAGGGTACAGATTATGAAATGAAATGAAATAACGTCTGACACCAAAAAAAAAAGAAACAATATGATGAAGGCCGAAGAACACCTAAAGTTAAATGTTGGCATGCAATACCATCCAGCAACAAGACTGTAACAATTCAACATTTTTTTCAGTTTTTATTTTTAGCTAAAAATTTTAAAGAAGTATTTGTTATTTTATTTTAATATTTACTTCCTGAGCCTAAGCTATGTAGTATAAGCAAATTTTTAATCAAAATATATCTGTTCATCCCACCTCTTCTCAAATTTTGTAATGGAAAAACTCATTTTAAACACACACATAGCATGCTTCTTTATCTTTATCCTAAGAAAAAATTAAATTCGCAAAAAATGATTTTATGCTTTTTCGAAAAAGCTGGATTTGTTGTCTTGTACTGCAGTAGCGAGGGAAATTCTATCTAAAGAACCTTAGACAATTTTTTTCATTTTGTTTCATCTTTTTATAGATTTTCGATTTCTCAATTGTTCGGCTTTTAATGAATCAGTTTTTCAATTATCAGATTTTGAAAATTTTCCATTTTTCAATTTTTATATTTTTCATTTTTCAAGTGTTTGATATATGAATTGTAGAATTTTTTGATTTTACAGTTACCAAATTTTTCAATTTCCTGATTTTTCAACTTAATGATGTTTCAGTATTACGATTTTGTAATTTTTCGGTTTTACCATTTTCGAATTTTGTAGTTTCATAATTTGGTATTTTTACAGTTTAATTGATTTTCGCTTTTACAAATTTTCAATTTTATTTTAAGTTTTTGATTTTTCAGATTAATTATTTTACAATTTTCTGTTTTTAAAGCTATGTGAATTTCATTGTTTAGATTTTCAAAATTTTTTATTTTTAATATGTATTTCAATATTTCGTTTCCAATTTTACAACTTTTTGATTTTTGAATTTCATAATTTTGTACTTTTTCAATTTTTCAATTTTGTAATTTTTATATTTTACGTTTATCTGATTTTTCAATTTCTCAATTATTAAAGTAAACGTAATTTTACATTTTTTTTATTTTTCTGTTTTATATTTTTACAATTTTTTTATTCCTCAATTGTCCGCTTTTTAATAAACCAGTTTTACAATTTTTGATTTTTCAATTATCAGATCTCCAAATTTTTCGATTTTTCAAATTTTCTGTTTTGGAATCGTTGGGTTTTTCAATTTTTCGATTTTTCATTTTGAAGTTTTAATTTAATAATTATTCAATTTTTCACGCTTGTGGTTTTACAATTTTTCAAATTTTTGGTCTTTCAGTTCAATTACTTTAGAATTTTTCGTTTTTAGAAGAACCCGATTTTAAAATTTTTGGAATTTAGCATTTTTTTCGATTTTACATTTTTACAATTTTCAGATGTGCAAATTATTTAGTTTTTAATTTACGAATTTCCCATCAGTTTTTAATTCTATAATTGCAATTCTTCGTTTTCTCGATTACCTATTCAATTTTTATTTTCTGATTTTCCTAATTTCATTGTGTCGATTTTCCAATTTTTTTATTTTTATTTTTTTAAAATTTCGATTTTTCGATTTTACAAATTTTTCAAGTTTTTGATTTTTCAGTTTCATTATTTTCAACTTAATGATGTTTTAGCATTACGATTTTGCAATTTTTGATTTTACCATTATTCAATTTTGTAGTTTCATAATTTGTAAATATGTAATTTTTATAGTTTAATGAAGTTTCGCTTTTACAATTATATAATTGGATATCCAATTTTTCAATTTTGTAATTTTGCCAATTTTCAGTTTTTTGATTTTTAATTGTTCAAAATTTCAATTTTAATATTTTAAGTTTTTGATTTTCTCGGAATAATTATTTTACAATTTTCCGTTTTTAAAGGTATGTGGATTATATTCTTTGGATTTTATAATTTTAAAAGTATACGATTTTACAGTTTTGTAATTTTAAAGTTTTTTCATTTTTCAGTTTTAAATTTTTACAAATTTTTAATTCCTCAATTTTTATCAATCAGTTTTATAATGTTTGATTTTTCAATTTTTCTGTTTGGGAATCCTTAGGTTCTTCCATTTTTCGATTTTTCATTTTTTAGTTCAAATTTTTGATTTAATAATTTTGAAATTTTTTATTTTCACAATTTAATAAATTTTCGAGTTCACAATTCTGCATTTTTTCAATTTTGTAATATTATGATTTTTCAATGTTTTGCTCAAAATTTCAATTTAAATCTTTGAACTTTTTGATTTTTCACTTTAAGCACTGTTTTTAGGGGTATCCGATTTTCAAAATTTTCGACTTTACAATTTTTTTATTTTTCAATTTTACTTTTCAACAGTTTTCGGATGTGTCAATTATTTCGTTCTTAATTAATCAATTTCTAATCAATTTTCAGTTTTATATTTCTTCGTTTTTAAAATTTTACGTTTTTTCGATTATTCAATTTTTGATTTCTTGGTTATCCGAATTTCGTTGTTTCGATTTTCCAATTTTTAGTTTCATAATTTCACAATTTTCCAATTTTTAAATTTTGTAATTTTTCGATTTTTCCTTTATCTGATATTTTTAATTTTCCAGTTTTAAAATTATTCGATTTCCAGTTTGTATTTTTGCTGATTTTCAAATTTACATTTTAAAATTTTTTCGATTTTACAGTTAAATTTTTGAGTTTTATGTTTTCACAACTTTTCGATTTCTGAATTGTGTTGTTTTTAATGAATCAATTTTCCAATTTTCAGTTTTAAATTCCTCGTTTTTAAAATTTTTCGTATTTTCAGGTTCGTTTCAGTGATCCGAATTTCATTGTTCCAATTTTGCATTTTTTTTTTTCAAAATTTCTATTTTCAATTTTTCAACTTTTTAATTTTTGCAATTGTATATTTTTTCTATTTTACGATTGTCTGATTTTTCTATTTTTCATTTCAAAATTATCCAATTTTTCAATTTTATATTTATGGAATTTTTCGTACTTACAGTTTAATAATTTTTTGATTTTACAATTATCCAATTTCAACTCTGTAATTTTGTAATTTTTTGTTTTTTCAGTTTTATATTTTTTCATTTTTTCGATTTCTCAATTATCCGGTTTTTAATTAATCAATTTTCAATTTCTGATTTTACGATTTTTTGATTTTTTTACTTCCAGAGCATAAGCGACCCGTAGAGTACGAAAAAATAGGTCTCCCGTTTCTCTCTCTCTGTGTGTGTGTGTCTGTTTCTCTGTCTGTCCGTCTGTCTGTCTGTCTGTCTGTCTGTCTGTCTGCCGTCCCGGATTTTTATTAGACAGATAATCTCCGAAAGTACTAGACCGAATGTTGTTAAATTATGTATTTATATTAAAAACATCATGTAGCTGGTAGTATCATCCCCACCAATAATGTGATGACATCAATTCAAAATTGTACATAGTGAATGGGTTTTAAATTCTATAGAATAACATAGTCCTACATATATAGTTTATGAGTCCGTGTTGAGTTTTTACCCGAAACGTCCAGATTTTTGGAAAAAAATGAAAATTATAAAACAACCTATTGTATTTTAATTTTGAATCTGCAAAACCGAATGCTTGGAAATCTTGCAGATGTTTTAAAGTTATGATAAACATGATAAATTTTTAATCAAAATATGTTTACTTATCCCCTCCAGAAAATTGATGAGGTCAGATCAAATTATTTCTGAATAAATCCCATCTTAAATGTGCAAAGTTTGATGAGTCTACACTCTACACTTGTGATTGATTTATCACTGCAATAATATTTTTTTGAATTGCTTATATATCGTAAGGATGGTAAATTGTTAATCAGAATATATCTGTTTATTTCCCTTATTCCCCCCCCCAAATTGATGACGTCATCTCAATATTTTGCCGAATAACTTCTACCCAAAATGTGCAAAATATGATGAGTTTTTAGTTGTCATTTATTATTGCATTTATATTTTTCAGGTTTGCTTAAACAGGTAGTTACAAAAAATTAAGGAATAAGTCAATTTATTTTATTGATCAAATCAGGAACACCCACTCCATTTACCCAGAAATTTTTTTAGTATTACACTGTCCCATAAATGTTGATGACATCATCACAAAATTGTGTAAAGAAAAAACTTAACTCGAAAATGCTGGATATGTTTCATTGTACTTCTGTCGAAACAATTTTGTTCAATATTTCAGTTGTAGAATTTTTTCGATCTCAAAATTTTTAGATTATCCAAGGTTCCAAATTTCTCGATTTTTTAACTTCTTGGTCGTAAACAATTACAAAAAAATTATAGAGTGTCATCTTATTTATAGGCTGTCATTTAGTTTCTTACACTGTTACTGATATTGCCTTCATTTGTTTCAATGTTTAGAGCTTATAAATAAAAGATCACAAAATCAAGAAAACTCCTGTCGAAATAATCTTCGACCAATATCTGCATAAACTTTTAACAAAGTTTAACAGTAATGGTAAGTCCACATTAGCACCAACGATGAATGTTGTGTAAAACTATTTTAAACTTTTCTTCAACCCATCGTCTGAAGTCCAATGGCCGGGCAAACCTTCATTAAAAGTCCGACTTTGAACCGACTGATCACAAACAACCGCTTTGTAAATTTCGTCACGAGTCCGCTATCTACTCACGCGAGCTTCTGTATTTTTATGCAAAAGTTGTTTTGATAGCGTTCTCAATGCCGCAAAATTAAAAACTCGTTGACATTATTTCGGTCAACTAGGTCACCCTACTTTCCTCTGTTTGCGCCATTTGTCCTTCTCTAAATACATCGAACCCGCTTCCGCGTTCAGTCGCCCCTCCCGCCGACATAAATTAACAACGGACACAACAACCACATCCATTTGGTCTCATACGAACCCTTTTGATGCTTTTTTGGAACAAACTAGTAATTTGTCCCTGTCGGATGGTGTGAACGAGCTCCCGGGCGGCATGATGGGGCGACACCAGCTCCACGCAGTTGATAAAGCGATAAAGTTTCTGCAAACAAACACAAAGGAGCCACATTATTGTATCGAATTACCCAAAAAACCACTCGACCCTGACCTGGCTGAAGAACATGATATTCCTGCTCCTCCAGATCGAACCTTTGGGCTTGTCACGCAGAATCGGCAGGGTGTAGCGGAAGAACAGGTGTTCGACGAGGAGAATGATGAGGCCCAGGACGATACCGACGCCCAGCAGGATGAATACACCGGTCACAGCCGCCACTCCCAGCGGCCGCGGCTGGGCGATGTCGGTGGCGAGCTTGAAGCAGGGTAAGCCTCCGTACCACTTTTCCTGCAGGATGTCCATGTAACCGTTGCTGGAGTATTTCGCGATCACAGCGGAGATGCTGTCCTGCGGAATGAGTGATGTGAGGGTGGGGTCGAGTTCAAGCGTAATGGAGATCCGTATGAAGGATAGAGAAATGGGTCCCTTCTGAGTCGATTTATGAGTATGCGGTAAAAGCAAAGTTTGATGGCAGTTTGGATGGTACAGTGTCTTTTCGCATTGTAGTAATTTTTGTGTTCTATCATAAACACATATGTGGGATCAGTGTTGGGTACAGACTTTTAAAAATATCTAGATACAGATTGTTTTCGATTTTTTCGAAATGTATCTAGATAACAGATACAAGAAAACAGATACTTTTCAAACTTCGGCGAATAAAATAACTGAAAACATGTTTATGTATTTTTTTATGTATTGTTTAATGAATTTTTTAAAATTAACAACATTTCGAACGTATTGTCACCTAAATTATTTCTTCTTGGTGTCAGAATTTGGTTTTCACTACTAAATACCCGTTCCACAGGTGCAGAAGAAGGGATTGTGGTATTAAATTTAAAAAATAAACATTTTACTGTAGCATAGTTATTCAAGACTGAAAAATCTTTTCTTTTTTCCTGCACATAGGCCATCGCTTCGCTGTTTGATGTGTCGCAAATTGTGCAATATTTATTACGTACACTTAAAAAGAATGTTTTTTTTTTGTTTTTATTCCCATACTACAGTGTCCAAATTGTGTTTGAGTATATCTAATAATTATCTCCAGCATTAAAATTAATATTTCAAAAGAATACGCGAAATGATTATTCTATGCTGAAGGTCTGTTGTCGGCAACCTGTCATAAATTATTATTCTTCAATATCGGCTTACGATGTTTTTATGACCATGTCCGGTAATCGTCTATCCCGGTGCGGCAGGTATATACATTTTAGGAAGAATTGCTGGTTCCGTTTAAGGCAAAATAAACAAAAAATAAACAATTTCTTAGAAAGATATTTAAACCCCTTATAGGATCAAAGGCTGCCTGGCAGGCCGGAATCACCAGAGTTCAACTTTAAATTTTCAGATTTTTGTTGAAACTCATTTTATTTTAACCTCGTTTCACGATTTTTGAGAATATATCACGATAAATTATTCCACCGAGGGTTGTAAAAATATTAATTTTATTGCCCAAGATAATTACACTTAAACATAATCGGCACATTCTAGGGCAAAACGGACCTGCCAAGCCCGCCTCGCATTAGGTCCAACAATGAAAAAGTGAAAAAATGACACATGTGGCAACAGGAAAAGATGCTACGTTTGTCTGAAAAATAAAGATATAAAACAGTAACAAATATGCGATTTATGCGAGTATGTATGTATTAAACATTCGGTTAGTCGATTACAAAACAAATTTGTGCTAATTGAAAAAATTAATCATTATGTAACACGCAATTATTATTTTCTAAAAATAATAACATACCTTAAACAAATATTTTTACTATTAAAATTACTCTTATTTAATAACACATATACAACCAGCGGACCTACCGGACCCGGGTTGCTCAGGTACACAGATAAAATGCATTGCCCCGATAAGCGTAAAACGCAGTGAATAGTGAATTGTGGTTTATGGTTTTTAAAATACCATCTTACCATGGCTTAGATTTATTACCCCTCAGGATTATATTTAAAGATGTATAAGTACTGAAGGCTACAATGTAGGAAATGATGGTATTTAAAATATGAAAATGTCCGTGACAGAACACTATTAGTGGACCTCTTACCTCTATTTTTGTTTATTTGACCAAAATCACTAACATGAAGTATCAAAAATTAGTACTAGTATAACTCAACTAATAACTACTGAAAAAAAAAGTGAAATAAAGAAATGTATCTGTATCTGCGCCATTAATTTTGTATCCAGATACAGATATTTTGTGCTTAAATTCGATTTTATCTAGATACAGATACTAGATACCCAAAAATGTATCTAGATACTTTGTTTAGAAACAAGTATCTAGATACTGCCCAACACTGGTAAAGTGCTTTTCGGTTTATTTAACATAACGGCATGTCAAATAGAAAATTGACGTTTCTGACACGGCAATAGCAAAAAATATTTAAAAATATACTTATTAACTATTCCTACATAGTTCTGTTTTGTATTTATTACTAAAGAGCGGATTCTAGGGCAAATGCCTTTTAATTTTAGTTGTGGACAAATGCATGAAAATTGTATACAGGCCGCTAGAATGCATGGAAACGGTTAAAGATTGGCACGATGATCGGTGAATAAAATCGGCGTGGGTAAAACTCAACTTATTTCTCAATAACTCAAATTTACACATATCGATTATGTACAAAATAATTCCGGCGCAAGTTGACTGGGCTCGATTCATTAACTGAATAATCTCGTTCCCGAAGGTGACCTCCATTTAAACCCATATTCCCTTCTCAATGTTTCGCAATCGAAGTCTTTCTGGAATCCATCGCGACTTCCGCTTCCAGTCCTTTCCTTAGCGAACACCGCATCGAGGGCTTTCTGGATGCCGCAATCGAGACTTCCGGTAACCTGCTACAGGCTCTATTATCGCCGTAAATACTAGAACCCATAGGCGTCGTACCGGGGTATGGGTTTCTTTCGTAATACTGCCCCCTCCTTAGTTCTGATCGTCCCGAGAGGCAGTTATGAGGCAGGCTAAATGAACAATCTTTATTTTCGTGTTTGGTCCTCGTCGGATTCTGTAAACAACATCGTTGATTGTCGTCACGACAATACTGTATCATTCATATACACGGACCTTCCCAGTCTGGTGATAACTTCGGGCAACGACCTTTCCTTCTTCGGGGATTATAAAGCCATACCAAATTCCCTGCCTGGAATTTTACTGAGTTACCCTTAAGGTCGTAACGTGTTTTCAGTCACTCGCCACCCGGATCTTGTGGCGCACCGTTTCGGGAACGCTCAGCAGCTTCTCCTTCAATTCATGGACATAATTTATGATCTCCTTTGGTTCTTCACTCGGAGAGCCGAACAAGACGTCACAAGGCAGACGAAGTTCTCTTCCGAACCGTGGGAGGTTCGTACCCAATTTTTCTCATGTTCAGCCACCACTTTCGAAAGATGTTCATCCATGGTACGATTGAACCCTTTTACCTTTTCATCTGACTGCGGGTGCACCGGTGTCTTCCGTATCCCTAGTACTTCAGTAACCCTTTGGAATAGGATGAACTGGAAGTTTCTGCCTTGGTCCGAATGGGGTTCCACTGGGACCCCAAACCTGCTGATCCAATTGTCAATCAGCGTTGTTCCAACTATCGTCGCTTCTTGGTTGCATATGGCATAAGCTTCGGCCCATTTGCTGAAGTACTCGCTGACGACCATTAAGTACTTATTCCCGTCCTCGGTCATCGGGAAAGGACCTGCTATGTCTACTGGAATTCTTTCGAAAGGCGAACCGACGTTGTATTGTTGTACCCGCCCTCTCGCTCTAGTCGTCGGTCCCTTGACAGCCGCACAGGTTGTACATGTCTTGCGGATTCAGTAGAATCTCTCCCCGACTTTAGAAAGCGTCTTGTTGATTCCAAAATGAGCACCAGTACCCCCATTGTGCATCTCTCGAAATACTTCCTTGATTCTGGTGGCTGGAACCACCAACTCCATGGTGGTATGTGTCCCATCCGGACTCTCCCAATCTCGCTTAAGCAATCCGTTCTCGACACGCACTGAGCCCATAAAGCTTTGAAAGAGGGTGACCCGTCTGATATTTTTGACCAAGCTGGTCGTTCTACCCCACCTTCTTTCCATTTGAGAAAGGGCCCGATATCTACGTCTTCTTCTTGTTTTTTTCTAAGCAGGGCTGTAGTCCATTCTTCATCTTCTGTCCCTGGTGTCCTCCCACAGTTGAACGACGTTTCACGCTGCTCAATCTTGTCGCAATGTTTGCAGTTGTTACACGGTTTTCTCGACAGAGTCTGTCGAATTTTGAAGTGATACTGTTGGAGTCGTTGAAGCCATCTAGCCACTTGTCCTTCGGAATTCTTCATGTGAAGGAGCCATGTGAGGATTGCGTGACCGGTTCTAATCAGGAATTTGCGTCCATAGAGATACTTATGGAAGTGTTCGACAGTCCTGACAATCACCAGCAACTCCTTCCTGGTAGCATAGTAGTTCTTCTCGGGTTTGGATAGTACGCTTTTGAAGTACCCGATGACTTTTTCTGCACATGTGACAATACAACACTTATTCCGATGTTGCCAGCGTCTGTATCCAAGATGAACATTCCCGATGATTGAGAATAGGACTAGAGCATAGTGCGTTCTTCAATCTTTTAAAGGCTGCTTCACATTTAGCGCAGTCCAATTAAACTGAGAGCAAACCCATTGACAAACGTTCTGTAGTATGTGCACAATCCCAAGAAACTCCGAACTTCGTGTTTATCTCTTGGTCTTGGCCAATCGCGAATCGCATTTATCTTTGTTCCCGTAGTTTTGATCCCGTTTGGCGAAATAGTATGGCCCAGAAATTCTACTTCTCTTTGGAAAAGGAGGCACTTCTTCGGATTCAACTTTAAATTACCTCTTTCATTCCGCTAAATACTTCTTGAAGGTTGGTCAAGTGCTCCTCAAATGTCTTTCCCGTTACCATGATGTCGTCTAAATAAACCAAACATGTTTTCAATGTTAGCCCACGCAATACCATCTCTATTAGTCTCTCAAAAGTAGCCGGAGCATTACACAGTCCAAAAGGCATTACGCTAAATTGATACAAGCCACTCCCGGCGGAAAAAGCGGTATTTTCCCTATCTTGTCGGTAAATATCAAATTGCCAGTAGCCGCTTTTTAAGTTTCACGTGGAAAACCAGGCGCATCCTGATAATGTTGTGCGTGTGTTATCAATTCGTGGAAGTGGGTAACTATCATTTTTGGTTACATCGTTTAGTTTCCTGTAGTCTACGCAGAATCTCGTCAACAGGCGAAGACCATGGACTATTTGATTCCTCTATAACGCCGTCATCCAGCATTTTCCGTACACGTTTCTCGACCTTTTCTTGTTTTGCCAAAGGTAGTCGTCGCGGACCTTG